CTGTGCATCGGGCAAGAAAAAAAAAAGTGGACAATGCGCGTTGCAACGCAAGGGTCGAGCCGAGAAAGAGAGCACACGTGGCCATTGACAGTGTATACGCGCTGCGACGGCGGCGGCAAACTCGTTTTTACGCAGGGCTGCGTAGCCGCGTAGCAGCCCCCGAGGATTGAAAAGGGCCGATCGCGCCGCGCGACCAGTTGGGCTTTCACAACTGCACACTGCATGCATACAGAAGGGGAGGACGACGCATATAGCTCGAAGGCTCGATCGAGCGTGGCGCGCTGGGACTCATGTGCGAATACATTGCCTATACCCCAGTGGATGTGTCATTTTTGTTATTACTACTATTTTTTTCTTTTTAATATGTGCGTCAGTCAAACGAGTTTGATTTATCTCGGTACTGTGTTCGCTTGTGCTGATCTCACCTTTCATTCGATGCGCGAACGCGAATCAAGTATTATATATACAGGCCGCAATACGCATTTTTGGTCGATAGATAAATAGAGAAAAAGAGAGAGAGAGAATTTAATTTGAATAATTTTAATTGTGCCAGTAGGGGCCGAGACGCTGATAACATGCGCCGTGCGATTTATACCCGAACCTGGCGGGTACGCAGCACTGCAGTTTTTTGCATTTTTCGGCACCAAAATAGGTGCTCGGTCGAAACGAAAAAATAGAAAAATTTAATGACAAAGAGCTTTCTCCTGAAAGTTTGATTATTTCTAATAATCCTCTCTTAAAATAATGATGACCCTAAAAGTGAAGCCAATCTATTCGGCCTCTGATTGGTCGACTGACTTTTGACTCGAGTCGAAACGTAGTAAAGTGACATCTACGGTCAAAATAGCAACTTTTTCGAAACTGACTGAAAAATGTACGCGCGCGAAGCGTGCCTGAAAGTTACTATTTTTTATAAATGACAATAAAATATAATACTGTCTCATTTAAAAATAATTTATCATTAAAAAAGATGTGTATATTATGAACGATAATGATTATTATAAGCGGCTGCTATATTGTCAACAAAAAGCGCGAGCTCCTGCGGTATGTTCCTTATTTTGTGCAACAACAATGACGTCGAGAGTTGCCTTATATAGCTCATCTTTTTTACACGTCAATACAATTTACAATGTGTGGCAGTAACATTATAAAATTGGAAGCAGTGCCTACGCTGCATGCACGGTTCGTGTCATGCTCGACCGAGCGAGAATGTTAAAGTATTATTTGTGTATAAAAATAGTCGGATCGCGGGGTGGCAGGAGCCAAGCAAGCGGGGGAAATAGAGCTGCGGATCGCTCACGACCGAACAAGCTTTGTTACTATACTGGTGTATACACATTACACATGCGTACGTGTGGCATTGTGTGCGGGGTGCGTTGCCGCTGTTTTACTCGTCTACTCCGCGTTTATAGATTCGCTAAGGCTCTCTGTATATATGCGCGAGGGTGAGACATTATTGCAGACACACGCGGCCCGACTAGCAGCGCTCCATTACCGACCGAGCATTTAGAGGGGCTCGCGCGCGGCATTGCTTTATTTATCCGACCGGCAAAGGTTTGCGGCTTTGCGTTCGAGTCTTTGTTTAGGTTCAATATAGGGCTGTCGCCGCTAGCTACCGCTGCCGCTGTTGCTTCTCTCGACGTTGTTCGTACTCGCTGAATTATCATACGTGAAACCTCGCTTATTATATGCTCTCCCGCGAAGCTTGTAACGACCAAGCCCCGTTCCCCGGTGTCGCAAGGGATGATTTTGTTTTTCATTCATTAAAAAATGCAAATCACACGGTGTAGCGCGCGTGTGCAGTCGCACCGATCCGCCTCGTAATTATATTTATTATATGTAATGGCAGCGACGAATTAAGCTCTCGCCACGCGCACGGCCTTGTTTTCTCGCTTACATCGGCGCTGTAAAACTTAGAGACTCACCTCGCGTACTAAACTTCAGCGATAAGAATTTTGCAAATTCGCGAAACTTCATTATTATCATGTACCACGTTGAATTGTGTTTTATTGCTGCTGCTGCTGCTGCCTGTGAGAGAAAAACTTTTAATTAAGCTCCGATAGCAAAGTTCGCTTCTCCCTCGAGACATTATATTGTGTGCGTGTAGTTCGCCGAGTATTATAGAGAATTTCAAATGAAAGTCAAAGATTAACTTGGTCGATGAAGTAAGACTTGCTATGTAATAGCTCTGGCAAGGACTCGCGCGCGCGACTATCGTACAATATATCTATCCATCGGTGCGAGAAGCTTGCGCCGCGCTGCACGTAAAATGAATTAACAAGAAAGATGATAAAGGCAGATGAGTCGGAGTCCGGTGATTTTGACGGCTCGCGGGCAATTAAAATTTATCGATCAATTATAAAGCGAGCGGATATTGCCGGAAGGTGAAAATCGGGCAAGGTACAGAGTACTGTGCTCCCCTCACTCTGTCCCTCGCCAATAGTAGAACACTTCGAAAGAGAGAGAGAGAACTTGGAACTATATATATCGGGGCGTAAATCGAAATTCTACTCTCTCTCTCTCTCTCTCTCTCTCTCTCTCGACAAAGTTGTGTGCTGCGCGCGCGCGCCCCAGCGAGGATTTATTAGTTGCTGGCTGTGTGCTGGCTGTGAAGCTGCCACGACGCGACTCGCTCAATAGGTTGAACATTTCCAGCTCTGAAAATCCGAAGATGTAACTTTGATGAGCGTAATGGAAGCTATGTATGGTATATAGACGCGAGGGCGGGAGGACATCAGCGCGCACACAGAGACACAGTCACAGGCGACAGATAGAGAAGCAAAGACATCCATCAGCGAAACGATCGGGCGCGCACTCGCTCGTGTCAGAGAGATGGTCTTTGAGCTCTCTCTCTCTCTCTCTTTCTCTCTCACTTCATGCTAGTTTCAACGGCTGCGTGGAACGCGCCAAGCCGACGAGCTAATGCCATTCCCGTTTAACGAAGTTTCGGGTGGTGGTGGTGGTGGATGCCGAATGTGAGTTAGCCCCCGCACACACACGTAATATACATACCATACATATCTGTGTAATGCAGTCCACGTAGTAGCAGCAGCAGTGGCAGAAGCCATATACAAAGCACATAGATGCGCTCGTTTGTTACGCCGAATGCTACGCTGATCCCGAGCGCGCGATATTGCCTATACACTAAATTTGAAGCATCCAGCCAATTAATTTACATTTGCGGCTTTGCAGCAGCGGCGTGTATAGCGCGGTGCAGCCCTCGAGTCGAACTCGCCCCCCCACTGCACATCGCGAGATTCAATAGTCTGATCTGTACTGCAGCGTTTTCGGTTCCTGCTCGGCCGAATCGCCGAATATATTAACTTCTCCTGCGCACTGAGCCCTTCGTCGTAAGCCTCCGTGCTTTTTCACGCTCGATTCGAATGCTGCTATAAACTCGAAAGCCCCACGCCCTATTTGCATTGCATCTCGAGTTCTTCCTTTGTTGCCGAATGAAAAATCATTTTGAACATTTTTGAGAATACGAATGGCAGAATTTTAGTGGCAACTTATAAATCTAGAATGAAAAGAAATGAAAAATTATTCTTTTACCTTGACTTTTGTGTCCCGTAGACGAGATTGAAAAATATTCATCCTCTTCTTTTTCCGAGTACACTGCAGTGTATATTTTTTTGCCTCGGTATAAATTAGCCACGCCAATTGTCAAAGAGCGTATACAATGCAACTCGATAGCTGTAACAAGATACAAATGAGCATTAATATAAAAGCCAAACGCTTTCAACGACTGCTTTTGCATTTTATTTTTCCAAACTTTTACGTTCGTCAATATTACCATTCTATCTCTTTCCACCGTAAGTCTGAAATTTCATAAATAAAGCTTATTACGATCGAATGAAAAATATACTACCAAAGTTTTTGAACGTACCATATAAATGAAACATAATATACCTACGCAGAGCTACGAGCTTGACGGGTTTTCGCGAAAAATTGTTAGTCGAAATTGAAACATTTTGAATTCTGGTATATAACCGGGGCGTAGCTAACAAATGTAGTGGCCTCGGTGATGCTTCAATTTGAAAAAAGAGACTGCACGTAATTAAGCCTGCACTCGTGACTTCTTCCCTGAGCTCCTGCGTGCCCTGATTGTGTACGGTTACACAACGAGAATATTCAGCGAACCTCGGGCGACGGCGCAGGGAGGTCTCGTATCGTCAGCAGTGCAATGATTACAATTGATGCAAAAATAAAAAAAAATTTTGAGTCGCAACAACAGCAGCAGCAGTTATATACGAGGTAAGCTCGGAATAATAACACTGCTAAGCCGCCGCCGGGTAAAACACACTGAACTAGACCGAAAGCTCAACTACGTTACTGACACGAGATATAAGCAGAAGTGCTGCGTACTTACCGCGCGTATGACGTCCTCGCGTACATGTATACTCGAATAATATTATGTGTATATCTTCTGTACAACCGCGTCGAGCCTGCTCGCTCTCTAGCAAACGATAAATTCTCGATTGTCTAGCGGCTGGTCTCATTAATCATACAGCATTATATATCGCTCTATGCCCACTATTATCTTTTGTTTTCGATCGGGCTTTATATTCTCTACCTGGTATTATCTATTTTGCATGATGTTATAGCGTAATTACCCCCGAAGCTCGAACTTACCCATCTTTATACGCGTAAGGCCCATCGCGGATTATATCCGATAAATCTATATTATAAATGCACGGTTCAAAATTATTATTATTAAAATAGTCCTGGACAATTAAGATTTCAACAGTGCCTATTGGAGAAACACATTTTACGACTATAATGTAATTATTTTTCGTCCTTACCAATAATTTCTTTGTCATTTATAGCTTTTGGCATTGATTTTATAAATATATCGTGGAAATTTACGATTAGATCGAACAAAGTAAGATTGCATACAGCAAAAACGCAAAGAACAGAGAAACTTTTTCCATGATATTTTATGATTTTACTAGAATAATAGCTGAAGCTATTTTTACAAAATTAAACATACAATTTAAAGTTCAATTGTAGCGGGCCCTCAAAACTGAAAGACACGAGAAAGAAGTTTTCATGATCTGAAAAATGAATTCGAATCAATAATACGCCCACAAGTTTTTCGTTTAATTATTTACTTGCGTGAACGTAGTCATAGATAACTCTGTCGACTTGGCGACGCTCAGCATCAATGGCTTTTGCGATCTTTTTATGATGAATGCGACAGCGTGGATCTCTTTAATGCTAGTCTTGTACCAAATCGTCTCGTACATTTTCATGGATATCTTATCACTCTGCAATGAGCCCACATTCGTATATTGCGCAATTCTTGCATGAAAAAGTAATATACGTGTGGTTTTTTCATACCTTGTTGAGTAGACGCTGTCCAGCTAGGCAAAATGAAAATATTTGCCAACACGAGCAGAAATAGTAACCCGCAAACTTGACCAAAATCGTAGGGTCGTCGCTAATCTAAATGGGATGAGAAATTTTTTTCGCTCACTTTGTGAAAAATAATTTGATCGTGCTTCAATCTTGTTCACTTGCCACAATCACGACGAATCCCGAAAGACAAATAACCACAGTAGTGAAAAATACTTGAAAAAATGTTACGTAGAAATAGATTTTATTCAATTTTTCGAACACATTTAGGACTTTTATGTGCTGCTTGTAAACTGGTTGAGATAGCCTTGGCAAATTTCTCTTGTCGTCTGAAACGCACATTTTTGAAAACTCTTCCATCCTCGCGAACAATGTATCTATTTGTGCGCATACGTAGGAAACCTAGTTGTAAAATACAAATGTATAATATAAAATTGCATCGCAACGCTATAGGCTTGTTATAGACGGCTCACCAGAGCTATGAGCAGAGATTCGGAAAAAGCTTGAATGCAGCACTGAAGCATACCCTGAATAACTTGCGTAAGTACGAGCACTTCGTAGACGGGGCTGCTTTTGTAGTCGAAGGGATAGTGAACCTTGAAGACGGGTTCGCGCATCTCGACTGGTACTGCGACGTACATGAATCCGATCTGTACCCAGAACAAAGCGCTTGAGCCCAAATAGACGAAAAAGTCGTACTTACAGAAACGTCTCGGATCGTCGCCGCTCAACTCGATGTAACGCAGTAACTGCGGATCACTTTCGAAGTCGCTCTCCATTTCTCGCAGCAAGTTGCGTAGCAGCCTGGAGGTTTCACATGATCGTTAGACACGATTTTTTTTTTACTAATAATTACTCGCGAATGAAACAACATACCTTCTGTTATAAGAAAATATCAGCAACTTGCTGTATAAAAGTACTTGAGCCAAGAGTACTGATAAATTGTCAAAGAGCATCAATGGGTTTTTACTCATTCTAATAGCGACCCACACACTAAATGGCATTGTGGTTAGAACGGATGACCACATTAAAGCCAAAACGACCTTATTAACCTCTTCGTTCCAAAAACCTGTTAGTTTCAGAGATATTTCCAAGGGCTTGCCAATGATTGGGATTTTCATTTTCAAATTTACTTCTATACATGAACTACAAAGAGCACTCGAAAACAAAGCTATTTAAAGTAATCCCTGCTGATCTAAAATAAAGCTTACGTGCATCAAAAGACTGACAACCATATCAGAGTCGTCAATAAAATACTTTGTCTCCACCCATTTCTATGGACATCAACCATTGACCAATGATTATATCAAATGCACCAGTTAGCATGATTATTTTTAACATGTGTCCTAGGAGATCTTTACTTAGGCTCATTCTTTTTCCCCCTCCTTTTGTACATTCATCCTATGAATATTTACTTTACGTCGACAATTTTTTCAAATAAGTATACGTTTCGATATAATCGCGAGCAGTACATCACAGAGCAAAAATTAAAAGTAACTTGAGCATTGATTCTCTGCAATATCTATGTATTTTATCGTAAAATAAATTTTAACAATTTATTAACGAACTACAACAATTCTAATGTGATGTAATTAATTAATTGTATACCGCCCTCAATACTGATAGGTAAGAAAATGACGTCTTTATGATCTGTAATTAATGAATATCATCCTTATATTTATAAAAAATGCTACTTCCTGATTAATTTTACCTTCAAGAATGTACTTATAGAAAGATCAAACATATTTTCACCGGTCAAAGTCAGCGGTTTTTGCGCTCTGTTCAAAGCCATGACGATCAATTTCGCTTCTTTCGGCTCTAGGACATACCAAAAGCAATTGTACAGTGCACCGTGAATATTTTCAGCCTAAAGAAGAAAAATGATTAATTAGTCGAGAGGCGCCTGTTCACGAAAAAAAAGAAATTAAGCGCGCGACACACCGACTTTGTTCTGCAAATACTGCCCAGCGACGCAAAAGGTGAAAATTTGCGATAGCATCGCAATGATGAATGCGATGAATTTCGTGATTATCATGATATCGGAGTTTTCCATGGCCTGCGAAATAAGCGGAGATTATTCATTCGTGCACGAATCGAACCGCACGTAGTGGTCCGCGTGGCAATTGTTGGTCACCACCGCGTTTGTTTACCGTTACTAACACGAAGCCGGTCACGCATATGAGCAGGCTACTGAACAAAATTTGAATCACGGACACTAAACTGTAAGCCATGTTAATTTGCTGCACCAGAGCCAAAATCCGTCGATGCTGAAGAACGACTCGTTTGAAATTTTCGTGAACCTTGACACTTTTGTCCGGTTGACGGCTCTTGCAGCTGATTGAAAAATTCTCTATCTGACTCAACAGTTCGTCAATCAGCGCAGTTGTATGAAAAACCTGCAATCGTATACAATCGTAATTGCCAATTTTTAAATCAACAGTTCGTGTATACGAGTCGACTATAAAATCAACGCACATAAGCCACCAGAAGACATTTGCTGAGCGAATCGCAGAAAATAATAAGCCAGCCCTGTACTATCTGTGTTAACATGATTAACTCGTAAACGGGTGTTTTGTGGAAGTCGAACGGATAATGCGATTTGAACAGTAAAACTCTTGTCTCGACTCGCCCGCCAAAGTAGTTGGATATGATTTCCGGGTAGTACAAGATTACCGCACACAAGTACATTCCCATGTCACAGGTGCAAAATATTCTGCAATAGCGCGCGAGTGTTTGCCACTCGTTAGGCAGGTTTCCGCTCCAGGTTTCTTGGATATCAGCCAACAAATTTGTCACGTAGCTAAATATGAAGTAAAAGGAGTGTAATCTTTTTGCTACGTTTCAGTTAAAATATACCAATGGAATGGATGTAATTAAAAAAATACCTTCTCTTATTCCATAAGATAATAAATTTGAGAATTATTAAGATCATTGATAAAGAATCGCTGAAACTGTCCATCATAGTTGTGGGATTATCCGTTAAAAGTGTCGCTTTCCAAAATTGAAACGGCAAAGACGTAAAAATGGTCGATAACGTAAATATTGGACCTAACAAATAAAATTTGTGCGGCCAAAAACCGGTTGTTCTCAAGAGAAAAATCAGTACATTATTTATCAGTGTCATGTTGAATAATCGAGTACTTTTTCGACACGATTGAACATTCCAGCAAATAATTCTCTCATTGCGCGTTAAAATTACGTTTCATTATTTCTGTTATGTATCTGTTTCCCGGGTGACTCGAGTAGCTTTTATTGTAAAACTACAAGCTTATAAACCGGTTAATACAAGATTCATGAAGTCAGCGCCTCCAATGCTAAAGGACTTATACATCTTTTATTGGTTTTTACTAGAATACAACATATGTGAAAGATCGAGAAGGCATATACATTGTCGTTACAATTATTCAAAGATTGTAACGTGTAATAAACTACAAGTAAAAGTGGGATGTACTGAATGGCTGACCAAAGCTCTAGTAGAATCACTTCAAATAAAAAATGAATCGTTAAAATTACAATTTAAGTTAAATGTTCTATTTTTGATATACTTGACTTTTGATGTTATGTATTCCAAACAAAATTTTAAAATGACATTTTTATTCAATGCTATAATATTGTATTCAAATCAGATTTATATTTTTAAAATTAATAATTTTAACGAGCATGATTTATCAACATTTAAAAATTCAGTAAAATTTTCAAAATCAAAATTCATGCAAATTTATCTCACATTTATACTCAAGGTGATAACAACAAAAACACTTCATAAGAATACGTTTTTTGCTTCTAGTGCATCACTGCAAAGTCAAGCCAGAGAACTTTCACGCACTACTGACTTGCCGCTCTCACCAGAGACAAGAAAGAAACTGATGTTTTTATAATCTAAATAAAAAAGTAAAAATTATCTTTCGAAAAAATGTTTAAAATATCATTTTTAAGGATCGAGTAGACATTTATACACGAACTTTAGTGAAGTAAATTAAGGACAGCGGAGCATAGTTTCCGCACGTTAGGATAACCGGCTTGCGACTCCGCATGATCATAAATGCTAAAGCTCTCACATCGGCGGCTTGGAATTTATACCACAGGCAGCTGCACATGGAGTCTAATATCATATTTCCCTGCGAATAATGCGAAAAATGTTTTATTCGTATATTTCGTTTCTTAATGAAAAGCGACGTCGACGACGACTATGATACGATGCGAGTCATCAAACCTGAGTTGTCAAGTATTCACCGGCGACACAGTAGGATCCGACTGCAGTTAACGCGGTAAACATGTACACCATGCACATCATTAAGGTCGCCGTTTTATTCGCTTCGATGATGTTCAACTGTGAAATGCACGAATTAATGTAGCGTTAGATAATTTGAAAATAGTTGAAATGGCAAAGCAAAAATCTTTACGTTAATTATCATGAACCCGACGATGCAGTTGATCAAAGTCATGAAGAATAGATGGAAAAAAGAAACGTAGGAATAAATGTCTGATATGCACTCGGAGAAATGTATGAAACTCAAGTGCTTTTCGATCAGTTTTCGTTTGGCGTGAGTGATTTTGACTCTGTCGTTTTCAGACTGACAAACGTTGGAAAATTTTGATATTTCTCGGCATACGGAGACTGCTTTGGAGTTGGCGTGAAGAACCTTGAGAGAAAATTCATTATAATTTATCAAAAGAGTGCTCGAAAAAAGTATATTTGATTTTACAGATATTGTGAGAAATCCTTCAATTGTCGCATGTCCATTGGAAGCAAACATCGCCAACAAAAATTGTACAAAACAGGTTATTTCGAATATCGGACTTTGCCTCTCATCCCACGGAAACGAAGATTGCATTACTAATTTTCTGTCGTCAGGGTCAGATTGGCTCGACAATATGGACAGTACCAAATACGATATGGGCAAACCATTGTAGCAAACGGCGATCGTGTTCGATAACATAGCGGCGAGTCTCAGATTTTTCAAAGTTACTTTCCGTACTTGCTTGTCGTCGCCCTCGCTTTCAAAGTCCTTTTGCAATTCAGCGATAACGTAACTAATTTTCCTAACAAAACATCAGTGTACAGAGCGTCATAGATTATAAATTTAATTTGAGCTTTTGAAAAAATGTTTTTTTATCATCAGCTTTGCGAGTAGAGATTAAAAGTTTTACTTTTGCTCGCACCGCTTTGAGCACTCTATAATATGAAACACCTGAAAAATGTTTTTTAACGAGCCAGCAGAGAGAAACGTGTATACCCACTTGTCGTTGAAGCAGAAAATTCCAAGTTTCAAAGCGATCAAAGTGAGTGGCATGGTAGTGCCCAGATTGTTCATCAGTAGCTCCAGCCGATAGAACACAACGGCTACGTTCCAAAACTGAAATATCAAGCTCAACGAGACGGCGAACAGTAGGACGTAAATAATCGTTGCCGTTCTCGTGTTTGGCCAGACCCCGAGCAGTTTCAGGCCTATCTCGATTTGCGGAACGAGGAATTTCTTCATCGCTCGTGGGGATGAAGAAAAAAATTTTTTTCGCGTCGACGGCTGTCTATCTGTATAATATTTTCCGCGTGCCCACGACGATCAAAATCGACTGCAGATCGTCATAAATAATCTCGGAAAACGGTTGCCTTCGCCTGGAAGATCTTTAACCTGAATAATAAATAAATCAACGCGGCTCGGAGGCGTTGCGCAGCAGTCGTGCAAAAAAGTGCATGTAAACTTCGACGATGATGGATCGATAATCAATGACAGCTAAGCTCTCGCCCCGATGCATACATCTATAAAGGCGCATAGACGAAGAAGAAATTTCGATTGCTGGCGAGCTATGATTTATGTATTTACGTAAACACTCGCGTTGTACCGTATTAGAATATTCAATCGGCTTTCGGTATGTATTTTTTCTTTACTTGCTCGCGCTACATACCGAAGGTGCGAAATAGCCCCCCGCGCACACTGGTGAATTCGAGTCGTTTCGCGCGCACGGAATAAAGCCATTGCTGCTCGAGGAACGATAAATTATCGAGGAGCTGCAAGGCGTTTATTTTTATTGACACGATTTATTCAAAGGAAAAAACGATTTGCACATGCACGCTCGAGTTTTTTTTCAAGTCCTGTGTACACGATAAAGTTGCAGTATTTTTTCAGGCTCTTTTCATTATTTTCATTGAGCTAGATCTCCATGACTTTGAATTGTAATTTCAGCTTTAAGCCTAGCTTTCTCGCTGCTGCTCCTTGCGCCAACTTATGTACTCGGAGCGCGAGGAGGATTGTATAACAACGAACCAACTTTGGGGAACGTTTGCCATTGGACTGCCAGAGATTCGGTTGGACAAACTTATACGTTGCTCTCCAGAGGAATTAACACCTTACTTGTTTGCATTAGTGGTGAGCAAATTTATCTTTTCTCGAAACTTTCTCTGATTCGAAACAGCGTAAGATGTCGATGTAAAATCTTGCTAAGGACATATTTCTCCGAAAAGATATAAATAAATCTACTTTTTGAAGGCCGTTTAATATAAGCATTAACGATAACGTTTTCAAATTTTTATTAATAAATTCAATTTTATTGACTTATAAAATGTAGAATATTAAAAATTATTATTAACTTTCTACATTCGAAAAGGCATTAAAACAGTTTTCAACCAATTTGAATCCGATAATTAACACTTTAGAACTCCACCGCTAGGTGGCAAATACTTTCACTTATAAATCTGCAAGTGGCAAAGTAAAAATAATTGTATAAGTCAAAGCACAGTTTTAATGGAAATTGTGTTGTGCATTTTGCGATGTAGTAAATTTATGTAAGAATGTGTATGGAATACAATCATTAATGTGTATGTATGTAGAGGTGATTGATCAGTACATGTCTACGTCGTCACCGAGCTGCTGTTAACCTTTATGTACTAAGCTACCTCTACCTAATTTTCGTAGTCACTTGTTCGTCGACAGTCAAACGGACATGCATCATTTATACATCTGAATATACATTATTATTTTGGTTAACACAATCGTAGATTTATTTAGTCCCACAAATAATAATAAGTGCCATAAAATAAAGTTAATTTTTAAGTACAAATTTCTAAGTGCAGTGAACGATAATACTACTAAATTCAAATTAAGAAATTAAATTAAATAACGTTATTAATTTCAGAAAATTGAATTTGAGTGAGTTTTATATAGTTAGAAATGGCCATAAAAATATAACGCAGGACATCACGTGGCCATAAAATGTATAAAAATAATACTTTTTTGATTAATATACATGCTGAGTTAATGGTCCTTGTATATCCAAGAAAGTTTTTATGGTCATAAACTAACTATAAAATTTTTAGCATTTCCACCATAGTAACTAACAAATAATTCGACAAGAATACTAATCATGGTAAAAAATATAAATGAATCAGAAAAAGTTTACTTTTACCTCATTTTCTCATACCTTTATTGTGATCTAAAATAGACTATTGTACCTCATAAGTTAATATTGAATTCTAGTGCATTTATGATTTTTGCGTTGCTCTTAATAAAGACAAATAAGAAAAGGACCTTTTTATAATCTGAAAATACAGATAAAAAAATTAAAGTCATTGGCTAGGCATTGAAATAATCCAACTTTACCATAGTTAGAGAGAAAAGCGAAAGATTGCCAAATTTTCCGATTTCTAAAGTATTCGAATTTTGCGCTCTCACGAGCATGTAGCGTACAAGATTCTGCTCCTTTTCTTGAAAATTGTAAAACGAGCATTCCCGAAGATCATTTTCAATAGACAAGTTCTATGAGTAAGAGTAAAAAAGAGAGCATTTTATAAAGTAATGTATTGTTACGACAATTTTCAATTACAGAAATGAAAGAAAAGAAAAGTTTTACTTCTAACCTGATGGGTTAAAAATTCTCCGGCTATGCAGTACGAGCCAACTCCCGATAATGCACAAATAATGTACAATAGGCAGCGCGCGGCGCTAGCGTAATTATGATCGTTTTCGACCAACTGCGATTTTCCAGTTTATATATGAAAGTACGCGAAAAATCAATTAATCACTTGAAGAAAAGATAATTGTTAAACTTTGAGATTTTATAAATCTTGCTGAATACTTTACGCGAATAATTGTAAAGCCAAGACTAGCGATTATGAATGAAGATATTATCACTAAGGACAGAGCGACGAGGGAGAAAATATCGCGAATGCCTTTGAAAAATTGAATCTGTTTCTCGTGAGCGTCTAGCAGGGCTCGAGCAGCCCGAGATACCGTTTCTCGATCCTTCATGCTTCCGCAAATACGAGAAAAATGTTTTATTCGTTGGCAAACATTCGCAGTTTTCGATTTAGCATGGAAAACCTGCCGAGAAGAGAAGAGTAGAGATCAAATCGAGAGCAAAAATAAATAAAAAAATCGCATATCGTATTTTAAAATAATATTTTTTTTACCAAAATAATCAGAGAGCTATCCGCGATGCATTGTCCTAGTACTGAAAATAAAACCACGACGAACTGATAAATCCAGAGCAGCTCGAAAGCCGGAGACTCCCGAGGCGACGGGATGAAGTACATCGACGGCAGCACAAAAACCCGCTCCTCGGACGAGCCCAGGGCGTAGGATACCAACGATACTGCCGGATAGGATAGACCCAATACAAAGTAGGATACAAACAGAATTTGTAGAATTAATTTCACTGCGTTTTCGTTATTGCTCTTCGACTTGCCAGTTTTCGAGTTTGGATTTGCTGCGTTTTTTTCAACGTGCTCTTCGATCGACATTTTTACCATTTTTTTGGTAGACCTATAACATCGACAAAGTAAAAAATAATCTTACTGAACTCATCTGCCGTTTCCTTGTAAAATTTTTCAATATTTTATAACTAAATTTAATAAAAATTTGAATCAACTATAACTAAACTATGCTTCGACTTATAGAATTATTTTGACTTTGCCATTTGCAGATTATCAGATAACAGTATTCGACATCTAGTGGTGGAGATTTAAAGTAGTTTTGACGCTATTATGAGCACCTTATATTTCGCCAAAGGGGGCCTAAACGTGAATTTAGAACAGTGGCTATAAAAAAGCGGAAGATACTTATGACTCGCTTCGCTCGGGTGCTAACCGTGCCGTGCAATAATGGCCTGCTTCAGTCACACGTATCTTAATTTTTCTCAAAAATTTTTTTGGAGACAGTTAAATTGTGATTTTGAAATCATTTCAAATACGCTGAATATTTCTAACACGGAACATTTCTACCGGAGTTGTTATGACAATAAAGTAGCGACAAAAATCTTATTACGCGCTCTGCATGCGAAACGTGACGATCTTGAAAACGCTTGAAAGAACGCCGATGGACGTTTCCATGTTGGTCAGCAGAGCGTCCAGATCGTGAAACACGGCCGCGGCATCCCAAAATTGAAAGCACAGGCTCGCGCAGCTCAGGGCCACGAGCGCATTGCAAAGTTTCGCCGAGTCCACCCCGGGCCAAGAATCCAGCAATATCAGACCGTATTTCAAATAATACATTATGTACATGTTGTTAGTTTATAGACCGACGAAACAAAGTTTGAGCGACGCACGCAACAACCCCCCGCGTTATGATTGGGAAAGCAGCAGTGGCGTGGGTGGCGTAACTATTTGCTTTTAAAATTGCACAAACAGAAGCTCGTGTATGTATCGCGTATACGCGCGGAGAAGAGGCGCTTATAACTTTTTAATGCCTGATTAAACACACAGTGTGTAAAAGCAGCAGCAGTGTGTGTATTATATGCGCGCGCGGGCGTGCAGTGGTGGCTCGCCGAGCTTAATGTGTAATGCCGTTTGTGAATTTAATATGAAGCCTCGGCCGAAACCGCACTTTATCGATTTCTGCACACACTCGCACTCGCATCCACGCACACATGGATGCAATATATACGTACGCAGCGCAGCGCAGAGCAGAGAGCAGCACGCCGGAACCAACTTGCTGGTACTCTCATCAAGGAGCATTATTTAGTTAGTTAGTGGCAATTTTTCTTTCTCTAATTATCAGGGCGCGCGCGCGCGAGCGCGAGTTTACCTAACAGTTGGTTGAGAGGATCCTCCAATGCAATTTTGCCAGGAGCTTAATTGACTCTTCCCATGAGCATTTTAATTTCACAAAAGTCTTTTTCGTGCGGTGACCGAATAAACGGTACCGCTTACTCCGCAAATTACAAATGTAAATGCCTTTATTTGTAAAGACGAAGAAAAAAACGTTTAGAGTACGCGTTCAAATATGATTTTATCCGTTAAAACAGTTTAAATGATGTTTTATTCATTACTATGTTTCATGTTGTGTCAAAACATGGCAAACAGTCATCACCTGAATCGTTTAAGCGCCAAAAGTAAATTAAAGATGTTTGTCGCTGTATTAATGGAACAAAATAATGCAAATTTCTCGTGCGGTCTTCTTACTTTTTGACACCTTCGTGGTTCACCTCTGATCGCGATTTATCCGCGATCTAGTGACCAATGACTCAACTTCCGGCAGCTCAATCGATCGCACATACCTCTGTCGGTAAGTACGGAAGCAATCTTACCAAACACAGCATCGGCAGCTTATTTGTACCTTTCATTAGCCACGCACGCTCGATAAAAATACTCACACATCTAGAATATATGCGTCAGAGTCTTGTATATGAATAGCCATGCGATGCAACTCGTTTATAAAAGCGGAGATCGATTGCTCAAATTGCGCTCCGTAATAATCTTTTCCTCGAAAAACTAACTGGCACGAGGATCGAATTTCCCGTATATAATGTTACGGATCCGTCATTCGAGATCGTAGGTATATGAATGCAGTCGAGCTTCGCGTGATCAGCTGTGCTCTCGAAACGATATCGTGAAGCTCTGCCTCGTGTAGAAATAATTACACTCATTTCGTCAAACACATTATTATTTTCTATACTAATTAGCGAAGCCGAGGTCGTTTGGAGTTGCGATTCATACCCAGCACAGTTGGAAGACAACGAGATACCCGAATCCCTTTGAGCCGCGCGGCCAAACTGGGCGAGTTTATTTGTTCTTCGAATCGCTCGGCAAGTCTCGACGATCGACTCGCAGAGCGATCATGCGCCGCGAACATGCCGATCGCTGCGATCGTCAACAACAGATCGATATACACAACATAATATACACACGCGACACAACACTCGAATTGCGCGGCGTGGTATGCCAATAAATATAGTGTAACGATGGAAAATTTCCCCCCAACTTTATCGAAATGGGAACCTCGGCTTGATAAGCGATAAGCGCGCGCTGCGCACTCGAGATTCGAATTATTGAGCTGCGTATATAGAAAATATATCAGCTGCTCAGCTGCTGCTGCTACTACTATACTGCTGTTGCTGCTGGTGTTGATCCGTGCGATCGCGACACGATATTGTACGTACTATAGAGGTATCAGCGGAACGACGCGCATTTCGCGCTCTTTTTGCGGCTTTGTATACCGTAGTCAAGCTTGACTGATATATTCATTTAGTCCCACGAGCTTATCGTCTTACTCGTTCTGCGCTTGATCGACAACAATTTTAGAGCACGTGAAATGTTTCACCCGTGTCCTGAAAGTCTCAATATATTTCAAGTAGTCTTTTTTTCGAGCGTTTTTCGTATACGGGATGTTAATAAATTTTGTTTGAAATTGAAACGGGGACTATCAATATCTGAAAATCGATTTTTTGTTGCTGGAATTTAGCCAAAATTAATTTGTCAATATGTTATATGAGCGTAAGTTCAAGGCGACCTTTCGTCCTCGCGCATGGAAGCGCGTATATGAACCCAGCTGCAGACAATTGCAATGCATAACACATAAACATATTTGTCGAGCTTGTGCCAGTTGCAGCAGGCATCAAAAGTCAGAGAGAATAAGTTTTGTGTTATATATTTTCGTAACGCGCACAATAGCCGAAGAAAGAGAAAAAAAAAGGTACAAAGTCGAGCAAACCGAGAAAGAGAGAAGCTGGTTACGCAAAGACGCGCGCGGCCGAGTTACACCAGCGCTCAGCCTTTGTTATCCGCGCGGTAAAGAAAATAAAGTGGTGCAGTTGCGGCAACGGCAACGGCAACAGCAGCAGCAGCAGGTGGCAGTGCCGCAAGTATATAAACGACAAGCATACATCGATTACATAAGTTCGGAAGCTTTATATATTTGCGCGCGGCAAGGGCCACAGCGACTTGAGATATATGTAAATAAGTGGAGCAGTCGGTGGATCGTGTTATGATACACTTTGATTTGTTGGTCGCGCGCGAATTATGTTATGCTCGCGAACCGATGATGGAAAATAACGATGCGCGCTTGGTCGACAACATTGTATTATGAAGCTGCTCGGCGATAGTCAACACATTACACGGCATTTGCATAATACGTCGCCATGAAGTTATAACAATGAGAGGGGCTTGATTCGGAAAATACGGAAAATGTGTCAACATCGTCGAGTGTAAAGTAAAATACCGGAACTAAAAAAGCTCCCGACGCATATGAAAAGCTCGCGATAATTTGTAGTCAGTGATAGATTCGAAGGGCTTACGTTTTAAACGTTTCGTAAAATAGTAATGTATACTTAAAAAAGTGTCAAAATGTGTAGTCAAAATTAATTAGTAAAATGTAAATTAATAATGTAAAGCTCGCGATAAAATTAATGTTATGCAGTGGTGAGTAACTCGAGCTTTTGTCAAGCAAAGACTTTGAACTTGAAAATCTTAATTAGTGATCTATACCAGTATATATAAGATCACGAGGGGGTGAAAAGAAAAAGAGACAAAAGGAGTACATACGTGCACTCACGCGCGCGGTGAACGTTCGAATCACATGCGTATTCGCTGCCAATTATGTCGCGCGTAGACTAAAACTTGGCACGTGTACAGACTTTTCTCTCTCACTCGCGCGTGCTCCGCCGATCTTCAGCTCGTTTTTCGATGACGATGCGTGCGCTGCATTAATTCGGACAAAAGCTCGCAGTTAGATGACGAAAGAATTATGCGGCAAGTCTGCACTGATTCCAAGCGCAGAACGAAGGAGAGCAATTTTCTTTAATAACGACGAGCTTTTCTTTCTCGAGACGCGCACGAGGCACACGATCAGCGGCGCGAGTACGGCAGCGTAACGCAGCAGCAGCAGCAGCAAATTGCGTATTTACCCGCGCAGGCAGGCAGGCGGCGGGAGTGGAGTCGAGCGAATCGCGCCGAGCGCCGCGAGCACCGGTCGTGTCGAGTCGGAGCGATATAAAAGCCGAGCGGTGAAAGCGCAGCCGGCAGTTCAGTAGTGTCTAGCTTCACGAGCGCCTCACTTGCCTCAAAGCAGCTCAAAGCAGATAGTAGCAACGGTTGTTTTAAAAAAAAAACTCGTTCGCGACTCTTTGCAGCTTGCGACTCGCACGTGTGCTTTCCCAACACTGACTCGCGCGTGATTGTGATTTTCACCGAAGAATCATCTTCTATCGTGCTCGACACTTGATTTACCGATAAATCCGATATAATGGAGATCGCTAAATTACCCATGGGACACGCCAACAGCCACCAGTACCATCACGGCTCGATGCGCTACTCCAAGGCAGCCACCGCCGAGGCCTCCAGCTGCAAGGAGCAGTACCGCCAGCAGCAGCACGCCCAGGTAGGCTTCATGACGCTGCTGGGCCAGAGCAACGGCTCGGGCTCGCCCAATCTGACCGAGCCCCGTCGCGTCGAGGTGCGCGTCTACCGCACGAGCTTCGAGCACTTTGCCGTCATCTATCCGCGCGGCGCCGACCAACAGCAACCCCTGGGAGTGTTGAACTTGCGCCACACGAGCATCGAGCGCCTCGGCCGGGACGGTCTGCTGCTGCGCCAGCACGGCTACGACTCACCGATGACTCTGACCCTGCTGCTCGACGAACCCGAGGAGGTCGACTGCTGGATCGCGGCCCTAGCGGCGCGCACTAGTTCACCGGTGCACCACTGCAGCCTGCCGATCGTCGAGGAGGAGGACGTCTAGAGGAGCTAGCTGGGACTGGCCGAAAGCCCATAATATAGAACAACAAAAACTTTAAACGAAAAGCAGCTGCGAGTGCTTTTGATTCGTTGTTGTGCTCCGTGTATAAGAACTGGCGCGCTGCTGCACTTTGGCATTTGATCGCCGATCACGGCCTTGGCTTTCGTAATCGATTACGAAATCGGCTAGCTCTGCCATGTACATACGAAGCTGCTATTGTTGCTGCTAACGTTGCCCAGAACGTGCGAAGCCGGACAAGTCCTCGAGCTTCGGGTGGGTTTCTCATTTCTCCGCAGCTACATTACAGCCATCAACGACAACAGCTGGACTCCAACGGCGCAATCCCCTATATAATGAAGACTGAGCGGTTTGAATCTTTTGTAAACTGTTTTTTTTTTGTCGCGTGGCCGCGAGTGCAAAATTCATAACAATTTATACATTTATAAATAAGTATAAACGATCGCGCGATATCGCTATGTAATGCGCCAGAGAGGGTCAACGATCTTGGAGGCGCGCAGCGATCCACATCATCGATGTATGTGACAATTAT